GTACAACCGGGCCCAGATAGCACCATTCACCCTTTGTACAACCGGGCCTAGATAGCACCATTCACCCTTCGTACAACCGGGCCCAGATAGCACCATTCACCCTTCGTACAACCGGGCCCAGATAGCACCATTCACCCTTTGTACAACCGGGCCGTGATGCAGGATCAGAGAGGGACAGGGGAAGAAGGGGCATGTAGTCTGACACAGATAATATACTGAATGCTGTCTGCTCCTTATGGCTGGCATGATGCATGCCCACCATTATAACCAATAACATTTTCTTATGGCCTGATACCCAGGTTAATTATTAAGATGGCATAGGAAACCTGACTTTGATTTATTTTTAAATTTATAGATATAGAACATAGTGGTAGTGTGTGTGGAGGGAACCTCACGGAAGAGCCCCCTATGGGGAGTGGTGGTTGCAAAACATGTTTTTTTAAAATGTTTTATAAACTACAGTACTTCAGTTTTCAACTATTGAGAAATTTGAGCCCCTGACATTACCTTTCTTTTTCACAGGAAGAAGGATGGAAGGAAAGTATTAATGCAACACAATTTCAAAGCAAGGTACAGTATGTGAATTCTCCCTGCTTAAAGAAAAATTGTTAACAATCTGCTGTGCCCTGACTTAGATCAGCCAAGAGATTTTTTGAGGGTTAGATCTGTTATTTAGCCGTGCCCTGACTTAGATCATCCCAGAGATTGTTTCAGGGTTTGATCTGTGAGTTAACTGTGCCCTGACTTAGATCAGCCCAGAGGTTGTTTCAGGGTTTGATCTGTGAGTTAGCCATGACTTAGATCAGCTCAGAGGTTGTTTCAGGGTTCGATAAAATTCAAAAAATTTTTTTCAGCAATCTTGTGGACAACTTGTCCTGATTAAAACCATAGTACATGTAGGTTTGTGGAATAAGAAAACATATAATGTATTTAAGAAGTTGTTCATGATTCTCTTTTCTCTAGGTCGACTCTCGTTTAAAAAGTTTTAGTGCTGCCATGAATGTAAAGAAGCCAGACAGGTGAGTATTTCCTTTTTTTATTTTTTTAATTAAGATAAACAAAAACAAATAATAAACGTTTTTTGTTCGTTAGCTTGAAGTCATAAAGTTTATCTTCTCGTGTTGAAAAAATGTTTCACTCATTTGCTGCCCTAACCCATGAAATATTTTCACCACTCAAAGATAAACTTCATATCTTCGCGCCACCGTAATATCCTCTATATATTTCCAGGCAATTTGAGGATATGAAACATTATGCTGAAATTCTGGGGTCCAATATAGCGGCACTTTTAAAAGTTCGACAGGTAAAATCTGCTGATAATTTTGCATTCTGTTTTTGTTGTTGTTGTTAGTGCAGCGGTGTAGGGGTATAGATTTTAGCGAAGGTGTGTGTGTGTGTGTTGGAGAGCTAGGTTGTATTAAAGACACAGGTCCAAGAAATATCAAAAATGTTCACAGTAAATTTATTACACATGCTTTTGTAATGTGTGCCTTTGTATTTTTAGCGCATGTCAGAGAAAATATTTTCAATCCACAAACAACATGCGGGTTATGGAAAAATGTTCAGGTGAGTTTTTACTTCCATCGATATTTTTAGGTTGGTCTACCTGTGTTACACCCTCCACAGGCGGTTGCACAGGCGTCCCAAATCACCCAACTTCAAAAAGAGTTTTCGTTTTCATTGTTTCTTTGTTTCTCTGCAGTGAATGGAGTATTATGGAGAACGAAATGGGAGATGGGTTACAAAAGGCCGGACACTATATGGATGGGTAAGGACACTTATTATTATTAAAACCTTTACTCCCCGTTCAGCTGCGCTTCTGTGGGGGTTGCTCCAAACTCACTACCACTACATTCATTAGGGACCTTTAACTGCTGGACGGCAACGTGGGCGACAACGTCAGCGAAAATTGAGGCGCTTCAACCTTCTATTGTATTATTATTTCGTGTTTACCTAGTATTTTACTCAATAAGCATCCCCGTTTTGGAGTGAGTCGACGTCTTTTGGGAGCGCTTTACTTATAACGAAAATCAGCAGAGATAAGCTTTTAGTGTAGCCGTTCTCTTTAGTACGTAAAAGTAGGACATTCCACGTCTTACTTTTAGCATAAGACGGCAATGATGCACAGTATTTCGTACATCCCAACGAGTATCTATTGAATAGCGCAATTAGTGCTATTGCATGAGAGCCGTCGTCGTCGTCGTTGCCGTCCTGCAGCTTAAGGTTCCCTGTTACAGCACTCACCTCGCATGTTGATTTTTACGGAGGGAAAAAGCCAAAACATTCGGAGAAAAGCCCATGTGGCAAGAGATAAAAACACATCAAACCAAACTTGTCTCACATATTACTCCTTTTTCTTTTTTCTTTCTCCTATCCTTTTTCTAATCTATTAGGAAAACCGCTCTATATCTAGTAAAATAATCCCAAACACTTTATCTTTCTCCTTAGTTTGTCCTCATCTGTCGATAATGTTGTGGAAGACGACGAAACAAGCTTTGCAGATCCGTTGAAAGAATATCTTTTCTATGCAGACGTTATAAGGTATGCCCTTCTCTGACAATTCTTGAAATCTTTGAGGTCGAATAGAAACACTTGCATTATTGGTAAGAAGTAGTCAAATGACGCCATCATGCAAACGTCCTATACAAACGCTGAACATTAACATGAGCCGAACCTAATGGCATGAAAGAACACCGCCTTATCATATATTGTTTTCAATGCGTACGGTTCATGTGAAGTTCGATGTTTTACCTTAGCTGATATTCCCTTGACGGTGCCGTACTGTTTTGTAGTATCATGATTGGACAAGCTCTAACTTTGTGAAAAACTGACTGGAAAATTTGTCGTCCTCTGTGTTTAACGTCTCTGAATGATTGGCGATCGTCCGAAACACGGCGAAAAATTAAGGTCTTACCTACCTTTTAGAGCAAAGGCAGCACCTTCAACTTAGATATTTTCAAACCCAGAGAATGATGTTTCTCTTTCATACACGTGAATCAAGTAACGTTAATTTAGATTTTTTAAGTCATGCAAAAATCAGCTGTATTCATAGGCATTATTTAGCCAACGGTATTAAAATTCTACTTAATATATAAAAACTTTGCTTTGCATACTTTGCTTTTCTTCAGAACCGTAGCAAAGAAGCAGTGGCTTCGTCAATATGATTTAGAGAAGGCAGAAGACGCTTTAGCTGCTAAAAGCAGTCAAAGAGAAACATTAGATTCTCAAAAGGTCAATATCCATCCAATCTCGTCCATTTTTTCCATCAATCAATCATTTTTTCCATCAATCAATTGTTCTATCCATCCATCCATCCATCCATCCATCCATCCATCCATCCATCCATCCATCCATCCATCCATCCATCCATCCATCCATCCATCCAT